AGACGCATTGCAGCCCCGATGGCAGCGGGCGGTGCGATGGGTTAATGAAAGGTGATTACGAGGCATGGACCGAGGGGGTTAAGGGGCACTCCTGTTGCAACGGGTCGTGTGGCCGCAATTAAAAGTGGCGTAGACTCGCCAATTACAGGCGGCCGTAATGGCAGCCAGCGCAAAATTTCTCCCAGCCGATCGCGTCCGTCTGCCGCGTTCTTCGCCCATCTCCGGCCCTCCCCGGCCTCTATCTTCCCCTTCGATCCCCGGCATCCCTTCCGCAAGTTGAAATAAAGGGATTTAATGGGGGGATTTGCGCGGGCCGCAGACAGAACTTTAAAGCCTGCGATTCTCCCCTTCAGGCGTATCCTCGCGCGATCCGCAGTTCGCGCGAGGATACGCCTGAACTTCATTGTCTCTCCGCCGCACAGGGTGCATCTCGAGCGCGCCGCAACGCAGCGCACGCAACGAGAATAATCGCAAGGCCGTGCCCGCAGAGGTTAACCCCGTCGGAATCTCCACGAGATGACGACTGAATTGTTCGATCGAGGAGGCATTCGAAGCGGCGCGGCGACGGCGGCGGCTGGGAAAGCGACGCCGCTTCGAAGTTCGACTTTAATTTGATTTTCCGTTTTCCTTTATTTTTTTATAGTGTTGTCTCGCTCCAGCAGTGTTTCTCTCTGCTTTGTTTCTGTGAAATCTAAACTTGACTGCAGCGATTGCTCTCACTTCGGGATCGAGCGCGCGGAGAAGGAAGAACGATGTTTTTCCAAACTTGTCGTAGGCGAGGCGTGATATTATCTCGCTCATATTGTCTGCCGAGAGTCATGAAAGAGATCTTGCCTGATGGGACACGCTGAGCGCGCCATTGTGAGAGCAAGTTGGCCGTTTCAGGTGAATAAAGGGATCGGCGAAATAGAGATCGGCCCGGGAAATGAAACCGATTTTTGCTCGCCGTTTGAGCGCGGCTCGGCTAAATTTTCAATTAGAACGTTTTTTGTCAGCCGTGTCCGACTTGTCCATTTCCCGCGCTGTTTTTCCGCCGAGCGTTTTCGAGAAAGCAGCCGCTTGTGTGTGCGACAACCGAAAAACCGTCGCCGTAATTTAGATCCCGTCCATGGAGGTCGCGCGATAAGCAGCTCTCCGTTTAGCCCGAGATCAACGTTGGGAAATAAACGCTATTTTATCGGGCGCTCGACAGCGAGATCTCGAGGACCCGGCGAAATTGCAGCCGCTGCGCTGCCGCTGTGATTGCAATTTCAGACGCTTCGGCTGGACCATAAGGGAGATCTTTAATGTTCCCGATGAAAGAGCGACGACGTAGCGAGCGGTGTCGCTCACTCGCTCGAGCTGGAGGCTTCTGCCTTACAACGTGAATTCTATCGGATTCCTCTGTATACGCGTGCACGTAATATACAAGAAGAGAGGAAGAATCTATCGGAAGAAAGTGGGAGAAAAGTAAAAAAGTACGTCCCGCCATATCTTCATCCTTCATTCACGTCGCGCTGCAAGTTCGCCGGCTATCGCAAAGGCCGAATTAAAATAAGATCTCGCGGATCCGCCGGCTCTCTCTTCCCCCTCCTCTTTGTCCCCTCCTCCTCCTGCTCCTGCAATCACCACCACCTCCCACAGCTTTGTTTTACGCGAGAATCCATCACGAGGGGGATACGGATGCTGAACTGTGTTCAACAACTTTAATTACTTTTCTGGCTCGATTACACGCAGAGAAGAGACATCGCGACGAACTTGCGTTGTTCTAATTAATATTGGATCGCAGCCGATCGGCTCTCTCTCTCTCTCTCTCTCTCTCTCTCTCTCTCTCTCTCTCTCTCTCTCTCTCTCTCTCTCTCTCTCTCTCTCTCTCACGGAGAGTTTTCACAAAATCGCGCGGAGGAACATATGAGCCTAACTTGACGTCGGAGGAAAAAAGATATACGTTTACGATTTATTACAATTTCTCGCCATTCCTTTCGCGCCGAGTATTCTCGAGGAGCCTCGGTAGCTCGCAACAGCACTTCGCTTTATATCGGTTTATCACCGTGCGTTCCATTTACCTCCCGGCGACTTAACTTTTTAGATCCATCTTCCGTATCGTGCACGCGTCTTTTCTTTTTCATTCTCTCTCTCTCTCTCTCTCTCTCTCTCTCTCTCTCTCTCTCTCTCTCTCTCTCTCTCTCTCTCTCTCTCTCTCTCTCGCTGCATTTTGCTTCCGTTGTTATTGTTGTCGTCCTCCTTCTCGTCGTTGCCTCGCGACAAAAAGGTGAGCTCCATAAAAAATATATCCCCACGGAAACTGTACGCGCGCTGAAGAAGAAAGACACTGCGAAATTTTCCATACGGATGATATCGCCGGACGTTGTATGAAACTTGTTAGAAAAATCGAAAACGCGCGGGAGGTAATTGGAGGAGTTCCGTTTGTTCGCGGATTCACACGGTTCCCGGCTTCGAGAGAGGACGCCTCTATCCCCAGCGAGAAGGGGAAGACGCATCGCGAGTTCGAAGATATTTGAAAAATTCGACATACTCTGCCGCTATTTCTACTCACACGACTACACGACAAACTCGCTTAAGGCAAACAGAGGAGGAACTCTCGTGTTTTACGATTCTGCACTATTTCACACGGGGGTAAGTTCGCGCGCGGCCAACTTTGGGGAATTCCGCGCGCGGCGCGCGAAAATTCACGGCGGCCAAAAGAAAAATCTACCGTCGCGTCGCGGAGTTTCGTGTCATACCTCCGCCGTAATGACCCTACATCGTTCCCGGCGAACTTTCTAAACGCTTCTCTCCGCGCGCAGTTCCCCGCACCTGCATTTTCCGCTTCTTCTTCTTCTTCTTCTTCTTCTTCTTCTTCTTCTTCTTCTTCTCCTTCTGTTTCTTCTGCTTCTTCTGCTTCTTCTTCTTTTCTTTCTCTTCCTCCTTTTCGCGCTTATCGCCCGAGTGCGATGAGCTTCTCCGGCCACGCTCGGGAAAAGAAGTGTTTTCTGGCTTAATGCGCGATCGTAAAAGGGCGAAAAACGATATAGGACGAGGTGGAGGAGACCTCGCGGTTAATTGGCTTATGTCATAAACACGCGGTCAATGTTGCCCCAAGGTCCGCTCTCTCCGAGGCCTCTCAAAAGTTTCTCTTTGAATGCAGGGTACACAAACTAACGTTTTCGCCGCAAATATTTGCGCGCCTTCAACCTCGGTCTTTTAAGGGAAATTCATATACTCGCGAGTCTCCCAACTTCGTCGGGATCATATTTCGCGCGAAAAAGCGCGAATTCATCGCAGTCGGGATCGCAGTTGGTCACGCATCGGGATCGAGCGCGAATCAAGAGAATTGATTCGTTTTCGCATAATATCGGGACAATTTTCATCGAAAGATGCTGAAAACGCCTCATTTACCAGAGACTTAATAGTTATTATTTCATCGACGTTTCGCGAGTGTAATACTGATAACAATAACAACAATGGCTTTATTCTGTGTGGATGACACATATAAATGTGAGCAGCATTTTCCTGAGAGATAAAGAGAGATAAAGAGAAACGAAGCAAAAACGAGCGCGCGCGCGTGCGCGTGCAAAAAGGGAGGCATCGGAATGATTACGGGTCTGAGGCTTTAAAATTTGATTAACACAAAAGTCAGAGTAGACGTTGAAGTTGAGTCGGACGAGGGAAATATAATAAGGTAGAATAAAGTAAGACGGCACAAAGAGAAACTCGGAAATTGCGCGAACGCGCACCGGCAATGCGAGGGAGTACAGCCAGCCGTAGGGTATAAGTCTGACGCATAATGGGAAAGCTGCGCGACGACAATGTAACGATACGGACATTGTCGTTCAAAGTTATACGGAATAAGACCTGCAGACACATCGGACTCGAAAGAATGAACAATTCGAGTTTAAATCCCACCGCTGCGCGGACGCTAAAGTGCAACGGGCACGCGCGATAACCGCGCGCGCCCGTTAATACACCAGGGCGAGCGATGTATGTGTAACATTTACGAGGGGAGACTTTGCGTTCACAATGAGCTCGCGGAGGTTCGCGCGACTTATTTAATACCGGCAGTCGTGCGAAAAAAGCCCGCGTCCTTTAATGCCTTCGCTCGCGCGAAAACTGGACGATTTTATATAACATTATGGAACTTTTTCTCCCCTACATTCGCGCACCTTTCTCACCACCCATTCAGTTCTCCGCTTGCCGGCTGACGACGAGCGGCGAGACCGTGGACATGATCAGGAAATATTTCGTCCTTTCGTCCTGTCGCGTCTCTATGCTCTGATTGAACCAATTTCGCTGTCATTTCTTGCGACCTCGGTGCTGCACATCTCTCCCGCGACCCTCCCCTTTCTTTAATCGGATGTTCTTTTAGACGGTAAGAAAAATCTCCGGGCAATATAAATTCTTCCGCGAGGATGAGAGAGAGAGAGAGAGAGAGAGAGAGAGAGAGAGGGCAGAGTAAAAAATAAAGGAGAGAAAAAGGGGAATGAATGCGACTCGATAGAAGTACGAGTAGCGGGCGAAGCAAGCTCACGACTAAATGGACTACTTGTCCGAGTAAGTTGAAAAAATTTCAGCGCTTCAGGATCCCCGAAATGAAAAATGATTTCCAGGAGAAATTGGGGAGGAGACAGACGCAGTTAAAACACGGGCGAAATCGCTCGCAGTTCGTTACAGCGGATGCGCAGCTGGCAAGTTTCCGTACTTCCGATTTTACATATTTCCCGATTTAAAGCGACGCGAAAGAAAGAAAACAAGAAGTCGGTCGGTGCGTCAGCAGTAATGAAAACCGAGGAAAGCGTCTCGTGCTCGTTTGTCTCGCTTTCCCCGTTGTTTTCCGCTCACATTAGCAGACCCGAAGCACTCAGGCGAGCGCTCGCGCACTCGTTCCGCCACATATAACGCGGATCTGCTTTGCAGAACGCCGCGAATCCCGACGCGTTCGGCCTCGCTCTCGCACTCTCCGCGGAATCGATCGAGCCGTTTCTTGCCGGTTCTTGGCGCGCGTGGCGCGCGGAGAAGCTCACCTGGAAAATGGTGACCTTCTTCAGCACCGAGAGATTCACGTGTAACGCCAGCTCGGTCTTGAGCTTGTCCGGTAGTAGACCGAGAGCGGTGTTGATGTCACCGCCGCCCTGAATTCTGCCGCGCGACCAGCTGTAGTCGTACCATCTGAGCACCCGCCGTTTCATACCGCCGGGCACCTTGTGGTGCCTCATGTAGGTCTTGGCGCCGTCCAAGAGCCGCTCGAACTCGAGGCGATTCGCGTTCCTGTTGGTGATGACGTTGCCGACCTGGCCGACGATGGTCGCGAATATGAAGACGCCGATCAAGTAGCTGACTATCGTGAAGACGTACCTGCGAATCAGGAAGGCAGAAAGAGAGCCGATCAGTCCGAGGGGGGTGTGATCAGGGTCCTCCGTTCATGGACGAGCGGCCCCCGCCGGAGCCTTCCTCCTCTCTCTCTCTCTTTCTCTCTCTCTCTCTCTCTCTTTATTTCCTCCCTTCTCTCTTACTTGCCTTCCTTGCGTTCGTTCGTTCCGTTCTTTCGGTCCTTCTAGTACACCTTCTCTCATTCTCTCATTCTCTCTCTCTCTCTCCCTCCCCCCCTCTCTCTCTCTCTCTCTTTCTTTCTCTCATTCACGCTCTCTTTCTCTCGACCTTTCGTACTCTCGCTCTTTTTCACCCTCTTGCTTTCTCATTTTTTTCCTCTTTCACCACCACTCTATCGCACATCACACACACACACACACACACACACACACACACACACACACACACACATACACATCGACCTGCGGACAACTCGCTTTTTCGTACTCTCCGTAGATCTCGTTTGATCCTCGCTGATTCGTAAAACGGAAAGAGTACTAGTGAAACGCGCACTTTGAATTCGCCCGCAGAGTCAGTCGTTAGTATTCCGACCGAACGCGATTGTTGAATCGATGAATAATTGAATGTGATTTCGAGTCGTTAAAATTCCCTCATTCTCGGACGGGAGCCTTGACGAACTCGAGCCTCGAGATTCGCGATTTGCAGTAGCGCGTGTCTAAGATCGATGTTGAGCATACCAAGCCCTCGATAAATATACACCCCGAAGGTCTCATAAGAATCGCGACACCGACAAGCCGATGGAATCTTAACTTGTCCGCTTCGTCAGCTCGGCGAAACATGTAGTTTCGGAGTAAGAAGGTGGAAAACGTGCGGATCAAAGAGAAACTCAGCGGTTTCGCGACACCTTGCATCCCCTCAGCTCTCACCAAGGCTGTCCATTGTATCGTAACCGGCGCGGCCGTAGTCGAAAATTCTTAACCGGTGGTTTCCTGGCCCTGTTCGTCCGTCCGTTTCACGATTCACAGCTTCTCTCCGAGCTACTCTTTCCGCTCTTCGTGTATACCGACACAACCGGCACACATGCGCGCATGCACACACACACAGAGCAGCATACATACATCACACATACACACACACATACATGCACACACATTCTCAGTTTTCCACTGACAGCATCAAGCCGACTCGATACGTTTTCTAAAGAAAACACCCTTCCGCCCTGCTTCCTTTTGTCCCTTCCGGCATCGAACATTCCCGTGCTTCCGCCGGCCTCGAATTTTCCTCTTTCATACATTCGCCCTCCCTTTGACCGCTTCGCCTCGTTTCTCGACCCAGCAGCTTACGCTTTTCTAAGAATGCCCGACGCTCCGTCGATTAATCGATGCTCCTTTTCTCTTTCTTTCGATAATCCATTATTTATACGTCTTCAAACAGGCGGTAATTGGCAACGCGGGCCAATGAAAAGAGCGGGAGGGTGAGAAAGGCGCGGATAAAAGAGAAAGAGACGTGACGGGGGGAGGGCAGGAGGAGGGGGAGGGGAGCGAAAACTGGGTCAGATTAAAGTTAATCTCGCGTTCGCGTCTGAATATTCACGAAGAGATAAGTTCATCAATAATTGTCGGTACCTTCCGAAGGAGGTAAAAGGAAGGAAGAAAAGGAAGAAGCCGGTCAAAGAGGTATGTTACGCGTATGTGGCCGACTAATTGACCTCGTCGTCAATTTTTTGGCGACGCGACGTCGCCCATCCTTAACTCGGTTTACTTTTTCTCGTTATGTTAGCTCGTGCCTCAGTTTTATCTCCACCGCTTCCACTCTCGCTCTCGCGGCTTCGCCGGCTTGTTCGATGATCGATACACGTTGAAATGCACGCGCACGAATGCCCTCCATGTGTCTCCACCGCCTCGCTCTAATCAAACAACCACGTATTTTCTTTTTGCATTTTTCCTCTCTCCCCCTCGCTGTTATCTCCCTCTTCTCTTTTTTTTGCATGTCGAGCTTGCACCGCGAGACATTTATTTGTCGGTTGGTTCTAGCCGTCTATGCGAGATAATTCCCGTTTTTATTTATACGAACGTTTTCGCGTTTCTGGATAATTATAAACGAATGATGACGAACGTGTCTCTACGATTTACGAGGTTTTTTTTCGAGGAAACTACTCTCTTCCTTTAGAAGCAAACGGTTAAAGTTGATTGATTACGTTGCAGCGTAAAATGGAATATTTATATGCTTTTTCCCACGAAATTTATATCGTAATGTATGCGTTTTAACGTATATTTAACTGACGGTATAATAAAGCACGATGAATTTGTTTAATTCACACAACGCGTACCGCTGAAACACGGTTCAATCGCTTTAAGGCACGATATTTTACCGCATATTAATATTTCGCTACAGCGAAATACAATACCCACCAGTCATTCTTGACTTTTATATCTGCCATGTTTCGGTTTCTGTTTGGTCTATATTTTTCGTTAGCGCGCGCGCGATACAGAGGGGGTTGAAAGAAAAGTTAACAGTCGCTCTCATTCCGCTGCAAAGCTTTGTGGAAAAACTGCAGGCACCGTAAAAATTACAGACTTTTAATACACGTCGAGACGCGAGCTCGTGAATGTTCTCGAAGCTCGCGAAATGTTGGCGAGACGCGAAAATTACTCGTTCATTACGTGAACTGCAGAGAGAGAGAGAGAGAGAGAGAGAGAGAGAGGAGGGAGAGAATCGCAACTTATTTATTCGCAACGTTATGTCGGTAAAAACGAATCCGTAGTCCGTAGGTAGACAGAACTGTCCGTTCCTCGAAAGTTTGCAACTGGAGACTCGCGCATCTTCACCAGAGCGTAATCAATTCTGTTATCACGGCGTGTAGTAAATATATAGGTCGGCGGAAAGTCGCCGGCGATGATTTACGAGCGTCTACCAGCAAGTGGACGAAGGGTAGAGAACGTATTTTCGTACAAGAAACGCGAAGTTGCGAAGAAAAGGGGAGACGGCAAACCTGACTGGCTACGTCACGTCGAGCAGAGAGACGGACCATCGTCATCCTCGTGTGATGAATCTTGTTAAATAAATACTTCACTGCCAAACCCGGTCCCCCTTGCGCGACATCAACGTCGTTTGATCATTCGCCCGAGTTTCTCGGCTACCGAGAATCGCGGCGAACAATAATGCGCGTTCAAAAACACGTGTCGCGAATTTCACGCGTAACACGCACACATGTGAGGACGCTCGGTTACGTTTCTCAAGCTCGCCGAACGAGATTAACGCTCTCTGTCCAGTTATTCTTTAGACTCATGGTGTAAACAAGCGGGAGCGATGGCCGTCGGTCGTCGATGACAATTTACAGGAGCACGACGCGCCGAAACTCAACGAACCGTGGCCGAGCGGAAGTCGTGACCCGTCCCAGAGGCTATACGGGTCATCGCCGGACCGAGGAAATTCGGTTTGCGATTCGCTCGGTGTACTCGAAGTAACGCGAGATCAAATTTGACCCGGGCTGAAATGAGATTCCGGCCGATCGCGCGCTCTCTCTCTCTCTCTCTCTCTCTCTCTCTCTCTCTCTCTCTCTCTCTCTCTCTCTCTCTCTCTCTTTTCCCCCGCTCTCCCCCCTCTCTCTCTCTCATCGTCTAGAACCCCTACAAGATCGATCTTTCACGATACTCAAGTTTCCACCGGTGTGAGAGAGCACATCCCCCGGTCATTAAGCGATCTCGCCGTAGGCAACGGGCCAAGGATTCAGCAGCCGGAAACGCGCGCCGAGAATCAACGATACTAATTGTGAAGCCTAAAGGAGCTCGCGAATAAGGAGCGACGGAACGCCTCGCGTATAATCCGCGCGCCGAAATCACTCTGCTCTCTCCCTCTCTTTCTCTCCCTTTTTTTATCTCTATCTCATCTTGAAACTTTACGACCCTCCTTTAATTCATATTCTTCTAGAAGACAAAAGATTTACCCCGTAACTTTGTGACATCGCGTCACGCACGCAGATTTGCCGGTCTTTTTGAATCGACATCCCGATAATCATCGTGGTTGTTTGCAAAATAGTAAAGATCTGTCTTGTCCAGTTTGATGTGCTTCATACAAACGAATATACACGAATATACAGACACGATGACTCGAATTCTACGTTCGGCGGAAAATTTGATAAACCAATGCATCAAAGAAATATATCTTAAGGAGAACACGAGAAAGAAATTTTTTAAATGCTTTAGTTCCATCTAAAACTGCCGTGAGGTTTCAAAATTTCTTTCGCAACCATCGTTAATGCTAATATCTGGGAAAGAACTGTATGATATTATTATCTCTTTTACCGACTCTGTGGAATTAAGAAAGACTCTCAGAGCGGCATTCACGGTCTCATCTTCCATTTAAGATTGTCTTCTTGTTTACTCCGAGATGATGCTCTGTAGCCAATGAAATGATCCCTTCAGCATCTCAAGATGAAATTGAGACGATCTTAAATATGAGATCCGACTACGAATATTTGTCCTCGGTGGATTGCATTAAATCTATCATTTTATTATGCAAATTACATCAATGTGAGCGCAAACATTTCTGAACGTTCGGCGAGCCAGCTTTATGGCAGCATACTTGATATTTTCGCGTGCTAAGGGATATTCCTGAAACGCGAGAAGACCCGATTTCTCGATTTTATCGTTATTCGATCGCCGAAGAGGTGTGTATAAAAACGCCGTATAAGTCCGACTCCTTATGTTCCGCGGAGAAATCTCTCGGCATTCCTCGTCGGCCGTTTGCATCAGCGACTCGACATCATGCGAGCGTTATCGTTCAACACCACTCCAATTGCCGCGATCCGACTCGCCAACTTTGAGCGCAAAGAGATCTACCGCCGAGGCCGGCGCGGCGAGTCCTCCCTCCGCGAGGACTTCTTTCTGGTGCTCCGCACACAGACCCGGCGCTCGTAATCTCCGATATTTTAATCAAGCAAGCAAAGCAATCTCGCCGGCCTCGTTCCGCTAAATCATCTCGTGGAGAGCGCATTTGAAGGGTCCGAAGGGGGGTAGCCTCTT